CCGCGGCGCGCAGGCGCGCAGGCGTCCCCGCGCGGGCCCCGCCCATGCCCGGCACGTGACTGTCCGCTACGCGGGGGCGGGAGGCGGGCGCAGGCGCGCTAAACAGCGAGACGAAGAGCGCAGGGAACGCGCGCCGGCGAGAGTTGGTTCCCTCTGAACTGTGGAGCGTTAGCGCTTTTGACCGAAAGTGTTCAGGCAGGACCAAATTTTGCCATTTTTGCTTTTCTTATCTGTAAAATGATACTGATGATAATAAAAGTACTGAGCTCACAGTGTTATTGGGAAAGTGCTTAGAACACTACCAAGCATATAGGAACTGTTCCACAAGTATGAGCTATTATTTTTGCTTACCAAGGATTTTACCTCTTGTCTCGCCTCCCCACATGGACTCCTGTCGTCATACTTGGTGACTTAAGGGTTTGCAGAACCATCGCATACGGCTGCGCAGGTTGTGCACTGCACAACGCCAGGAGGGGCCATTCACATAGACGATTATGTGAACAGTGCTTCCTTCGAGTTATATAAAACTGGACACTCATCCAAAACGAGCATCTGTTTTATCAGGTTTTTGACCTCCTGCTCATCTCCAGTGACAGTCTTTTCTCTCCAAACGGCTTCCCATTCCCTGGGTCACATCACTGTTGTGACCAGAAACTGCTCCACCTCCCAAATCTTCAATGGTAGGTCCCCATTCTGAAGTTCCCATGACTCTGGTTGCTGGATGATGCCTACCACAACAGTTCTCTATTCTCCAGAGACGTCCAGCCAATGGAACGTATTACCACTGGCACCTCTTGGTTTCATTCTGTTCAATCCAGGTTCCCTGATCCACCATTACATTGTAACGCCTTTCAAAAAGGTCCTCTGGGTAGCTTTCATGAGCAGAAACGATTACTCTCAAGTTAATTTTTTAAATTAATATTCAACTTATTAGAATTAGAAATCCCAAAACCTAGTTATTCCTTAATTTCAACTGACAAATTTTAAAATTCCATCCATAACTCTAGCAAATTTTAACAATCACTTCTTTGGTCCCATTAATAAACTTGGTTAAATTCATTTGAAGATTTGAAATTGCATTTATAAATTTAATAATTCACTTTCCTTTAAGTATCCCAATTTTCTAACAAAGCCTTGAGTCCTTATGTATTTCTTGTAAATGAAATACATTAAACTTATAACTACATTGAGTCTTGAGTTCTTTTAAATGTCAATACAAATTTAGTAAGATTTCAACTTAAAATCACAAGTCTAAATCTATTATTCAATATACATTTTTAATTAGTACAAGAGGGGCCTGCCCAGTGGCGCAAGCGGTTAGGTGCGCACGCTCCGCTGCGGCGGCCCGGGGTACGCCTGTTCGGATGCCAGTTCGGATCCCGGGTGCACACCAACGCACCGCTGTGGCGGCGTCCCATATAAAGTGAAGGAAGATGGGCAAGGATGTTAGCCCACGGCCAGTCTTCCTCAGCAAAAAAAAAAAGTGGAGGATTGGCAGATGTTAGCTCAGGGCCGATCTTCCTCAAAAAAAAAAAATTAGTACAAGAAATCTGTTAGAATTCTCAAAATTACCTTAAATATTGTAAGAATTTAAAGTATCACATCCATATAGATCCCTTGATGCAAAAATATTAACACTGGGAGTTTATAACATTTCTAGTCTTTATTCTAAATTGCAGTTGAGGTTAAAATTAGATGCTGATTGCCCTGAAGAAAGAATTAAGTCATCCCAATTTGGGAGTAACATGCTCAAGCAATTTGGGGTATTTATTCCCTTCTCAGTTACTGTGCTGGCCAGTGAGCCAGGTGGATTCTTGTCTGCGGTAGTGATGGGACAGTGACCTGTTCCCCACCACCACCACCATCACAACTCTAGTGGGCATTGTGAGGCTTGGGCCAGCTGTCATTTTCTCTAACACAAGCAAGTGGCTGGCTCTCAGGGAAAAGGGAGAGAGGGTCAAGCTACTGTCAAGTTCTCAGCAAGATGAACAAGGTGTCCCATGGAGAAAACCAGTTCCTGTCTCAGGCTGGTCCCCCATCTTCTGGCCAGCACATTGCCTAATTGCAGTTCATCACTATGGAGCTCTGAATGACGGCGTGACCAGGAATGCCGATCATTTTGCCTCATAATTCCCCATGCCCACTCTCTTTGAAAGGAGGTCTAAGTGGTAGCTGATAATTTTTAAAAAGCCTTCCTGGGCCAATAGCAGCCAGCCTATGATTCAAGCTTTTGTGATGGCCATGCATTGCCTTGTGGCCTGGGCTTGGAGCCTGTAGGTGAGCCAGAGCATGCTGGGCTGGCCTGCCATGGGGCCCAGGACACTAGGAAGCATGAATATCGTGGAAGATCCCAAATCACAAACATGGAGATTACGGAACCCATTTGTTTGTGCAACAAATATTCATGGTCTTTACCCGGATGAGGCCTGTGCTGTGACCCAACATAATGAAGTGTTTTTGTTTTTTTTTTTTTTGTGAGGAAGACCAGCCCTGAGCTAACATCCGATGCCAATCCTCCTCTTTTTTGCTGAGGAAGATTGGCCCTGGGCTAACATCCGTGCCCATCTTCCTCTACATTATATGGGACGCAGCCATCCAATGGCATCGGTGCACGCCCGGGATCCAAACCTGCAAACCTCGGGTGGCCAAAGCGGAGCGTGCGCACTTAACCGCTGCGCCACCTGGCCGGCCCCTATAATGAAGTTTTATTCTCTGCTCTCTGAGACAGCTCAGGTTGGTAGGGGAGATGGACTCTTCAACTTACAAGAGGTGACAAGTTCTAGGAAAGGAGAAAGAAGCATAGATGCTCATAGAAGCCTGAAGAGGGGCACCAACCACACACAGGGGCAGGAGAAGGCAATGAAGGAAAATTTCCTGGGGTAGTGATTTCCAAGCTGATATGAAGGGATGGGTAGCAGTAAGTCACTTGATGTAGGGAAGAGCATTCTAGGCTGAGAAAATAGCACAGGCACTGTCATGAAGCTACGAGAAAGTAAACCATAGTCTAGAAACTGGAAATGGTTTAGTGTTCTTACAGCACAGTATGAAAGAGAAAGTGGACTTCGACACTACTGAGGGCAGAGCAGTGTGCAGGGGCGGGTCAGGCAGGACCTCTTAAACCATACTCAAGAGTTTGTACTGGATGGAGTCAGCAGAGTGGAAGTAAAGAATTTTAGCACTGAATGTGGTCTTTGATGTCATCTAGATTAATTCTCATCTCCATATAAGAATCACCTCCACTTATGCATACAACAGTGTTTACGGAGCACCAAACCTGTGCCAGGCTGTGAGCTGGGACGTAGAGTGACAAATATTCAGTTGCTCAGCTTCCAATGGGGAAGAGAGACAAGTAACCAGGCAACTGTAGAGCCAACTGAGAATAGGTCAGACAGGGGACAACCTAGAAGCTGGGAGAACATGGAAAATCCCAGAAACCAAGAGATTCATGATTGAATGTGGAGCTCAGGGGCATCAGTTAGGTCTCTGTGGTAGGTGAGGGCAGGACTTGTGAAAATGATGGGATTCTGCAGATGCAATGAAGGTCCCAAATCAGTTGACTTTGAAATAGTCAAAAGGGAGATTGGCCCAGGTGGACCTAATCGGGCAAGTCCTTTAAAAGAAGGTGCAGGCCTTCCCTGAAGGCCAAATTCAAAGTGGCAGAGGTATTTTCCTGCTGGCCTTTAAGAAGGGAACTTCGTGTTGTGGAGAGGGCCACATGGCAGGGAATGGTGGGCAGCCTCGAGGAGCCGAGGGCCTCAGTCCTACACCACAGGGAACTGAATTCGGCCAACAGTAAGCTTGGAGGACCCCGAGCCTCAGTTGAGATCACAGCCTTGGCTGACGACCTGAGTTTAGCCTGGTGAGACCCTGAACAAAGGACCCAGCTAACCCACACTTCGATGCCTGAATTGCAGAAACTGAGATACATTTGTGTTTTTTTTGTTACACAGCAAGTGACTAAAAATTTCACCCAAAAAAAGCTCAGACAGAAAGATTTATTGGCTCACATAAGTGAAAAGTTCTCGCCCTCCTGCATCCTCTCCATCTCTCAGCTGCGCACTCTTCACGTTGACTGCGTTCTCCCACAGGCCTTGGGATCATAACATGACTCTGGCAGCTCCAGGTCTCACACACTTTCTACATCAGACCCTGCGAAATACAGCTGAATCATCTTTGTCCCAGCATTTCCAAGAAAAGACTTGACATGTCTCACTGGCTCTGACTCTGTCCCCTGCCTAGGCCTGAACCAGTCACTGTGGCCACCGTGTGCTGATTGGTTAGGCCTGAGTCTCCTGCTCCACCAGACACAGGGCTGGAGCCTTGTCCAAAACACTGGGGCTGAGAGTGCGGAAGAGGTGGAAAAGATTAATTTTAGTGATTGCCCTAGGATTTACAATACACATCTTTAATTAACCAGTTTGCCTTCAAATAACATCCTGCTTCATGTATCGTATAAAGACCTTACAACAGTAGACTCCCATCTCCTCCCATCTGTTCTTCATGCTGTCGTCATACACTTTACTTTCTTCTTACATAAATCCCTCCCTGTTCTCCTTCTCCCCCACCCCCCTCATTCTCGCCCCACATATGCAGATAACTACTTAACTACATCCTGTCACTATAGATTAGTTTGCATTTTCTAGGATTTTATATGGATGGAATCATACGTATGTAGTCTTTTTTGTCTGGCTTTGACTCAGCATAATTATTTTAAGATTAATCTGTGTTGATGCTTGTATCACATTTATTCCTTTTTATTGCTCAATATTAGATATACCACAATTCATTTATCCATACTTTTTATTTTTACATATGCTATAAATACACAATTAATTGCTAATATGTTTGCTTTAGACCAGGGGTTAGCAA